CGCAATACACACATAGTATACAGAAGAGCGCCCGGCGGCCCGAGTGTGTGTGTGTGTGTGTGTGTGTGTGTGACTGTGTGTGTGTGTGTGTGTGTGTGTGTGAGTGAGTGTGTGTGTGTGTGTGTGTGTGTGTGTGTGTGAGTAAGAGTGTGTATACACATTTATTTTTATTTATTTAACTTTTAGTAGTTTAAACAATTCAACTTTTTATCAATTTTGTTAAATTTTTTAAATTTTCATTTTTTTAAGTTCAAGTTTATCTAATATATTTATTTTATTTTAGTTTCATTTCAATTAATGAAAACAATTTGCAATAGTTTTATATGACAATAACAACACTGCACACACCATCATGTGATTTGTAAGGTCTTGTTTGCAGTTATTTTGCAATAATGTTCGATTTAATGGTTTGTTGAGAATTTCTCACCTATGATCTTCTCATCCATTACGTTTATGCATTTGGCAGATGCATTTATCTAAAGCAACTTGAAATTATACATTTGTTCCCATGACCTTCACCCTCTACTGTTTGAACTACAGAAATTCTGTGCGCTATCTGTGATGTCACATCCTGTGTCTCTCTGTCCCGCAGGAAACAGAGTTTTTGGACATTGCCACCATCAGGGACACAAGAGCGGGAAAATATGCCAAGCTCCCTAAAGTATGTGCCCTGTCCATGTTATGTAATGTGTTTTATGTTGCATCATGACTAAACAGACGGAGTGTCAGTGTTTGAGTTCATTGTTGCATTTGAGTATTTGTGTGAATTTGCCTTGCAAACAGCAGCGTTCAGCAGAAACAATCACATCAACCACAGCCAACTCATGTTCAGATCAGAGAATCACATCAGCTACTGACATACAGCATTAACATATGAACACACTCATCAGTTCTGATCATCCATCTCACAAAGTTTTTACATTTATGCATTTATCAGATGCTTTATCCAAACAGTTGAGGAGCATTTTTGACATGCATATTTTTAAGTGCTATTAGAAACATAAACACGATGTTATGTTTGATATATTACTATTGTTATATGAATTATACAGTGATTTTCTTTGTCTCTACACACACACACACACACACACACACACACACAGCTGTTGACCTCGTGTTTCTCCCTTCACACATTTGCATGAAGCCGGATTTGTTTGCTGGTCTGGGTTGTTCTTGTTGATGGGTCATGTATGGAAAGCAGACTCCGTGTATGAGATGTTTAAAGTTTCTAGAGCTTTCTCTCCTAAACGTCACTCGCTTGATATCTGATGCAATGACTTTCAGAAGTCTGAAGTGTCACTTTAGTGTTCAGGGACTCTTTAGCCAACGTTTCATATTCTCAAGCAATGTCTTATCATTTTCTTCCTCTTTCAGCATCCAAAGGTTCGTAACGTCTTCAACATGGATTTTCCTGACAGCCATCATCTGGCCAAAGCGCTGACCATCGTGACGGGAACAGACACCGTCAGCCTCACCTATCACAACTTCTTTGCTGCTAAAGAAGTGGCCCAGGTATCATACTTCATATATGTGACCCTGCAGCACAAAAGCAGTGTTAAGTCGCTGGGGGATATTTGCAGCAATAGCCAAAGATACATTGTATGGGTCAAAACTATCGATTTTTCTTTTATGCCAAAAATCATTAGGATATTAAGTAAAGATCATGTTCCATGAAGATATTTTGTACATTTCCTACCGTAAATATATCAAAACTTAATTTTGATTCAGATTCCAAATTTTCAAATATTGTCCTATCCTAACAAACCATACATCAATGGAAAGATTATTTATTCAGCTTTCAGCTGATGTATAAATCTCAATTTCAAAAAATTGACCGTTATGACTGGTTTTGTGCTCCAGGGTCACATTTGTCTTGTCAAAGCATTTGGAGCATAAGTAAGTGACCCCCAAACACAATCAGTCACAGTTATTTTCCTGAATAGTCTAACTTTGCATAGACGTTCTGCCGGCTGGGTTTCTTTCAGGTCAGAGGAGCGTGTTAAAAATGGTTCTGGTTGTGTCTGTGTTTGAGCAGAAGACAGTATGGAGTCGTTCGACAGCGAGAGGAGGCCACACTTCCCACAGTTATTCATGTATAAGTCTCAATTTCGAGAAATTGACCCTTATGACTGGTTTTGTGGTCCAGGGTCACATACATGTTTCATTTTAAAACACACACTTCAATGCATTTCATTTTACATCTAAAAACAGATAGATAGATAGATAGATGGATGGATGGATGGATGGATGGATGGATAGATAGATAGACAGACACACACACGTTTATCAGGACTAATGTTCCATTTAAAGCAGCCGCTGGTCTTTGAGGTTCAGAAATTGGTTTTATGAGTTTATGATTTTCATATCCTGACACTAATAAGCTGCAGTGCAGATCAATTGTGTTATTTCTGTGTGCCTCAAAGCGCTGAGGTTTATCATTCGCCCTCTGGTGGATGAATGCGTTATAAACACATCTGACTGAAATAAACGCAGACTGGGTTTGTTATTAGTGCCTTTTACTCAGTCAAGCAACACTATTGTTATTGATATGATCCAGCAGAGCATTAAAGAAATAGTTCACCCCAAAATAAAAATTTGCTGAGATTTTACTCACCCTCAGTCCATCCAAGATCAGGATGAGTTTGTTTCTTCATCAGATTTGGAGAAATGTAGCATTGCGTCAGTGTCTCAGCAATGGATGCTCTGCAGTGAATGGGTGCCGTCAGAATGAGAGTCCAAACAGCTGATAAAAACATCACAATAATCCACAGCACTCCAGTCCATCAGTGAACATCTGGAGAAGACAAAAGCTGAGACAAATCCAGCATTAAGACTTTTTAAACTAGAGTCCATAATCCATAATAACTCTTCCTCCAGTGAAAAGGTGTTCTGGTCTGAATCAGGAGAGAAATCTGCACAGATCAAGCAGCGTTTAAGCAGCTCTAAACAAATATGTGTCTGGATTTTGATGTGAGAGACAACAGCAGATCTGGAGGAAGTGTTATTATGGATTATGGACTCATTTTAGTTATAAACGTCTTAATGCTGGATTTGTTTCAGCTTTTGTCTTCTCCAGAGGAGCGTGTTAAAAATGGTTCTGGTTGTGTCTGTGTTTGAGCAGAAGACAGTATGGAGTCGTTCGACAGTGAGAGGAGGCCACACTTCCCACAGTTATTCATGTATAAGTCTCAATTTCGAGAAATTGACCCTTATGACTGGTTTTGTGGTCCAGGGTCACATACATGTTTCATTTTAAAACACACACTTCAATGCATTTCATTTTACATCTAAAAACAGATAGATAGATAGATAGATGGATGGATGGATGGATGGATGGATGGATAGATAGATAGACAGACACACACACGTTTATCAGGACTAATGTTCCATTTAAAGCAGCCGCTGGTCTTTGAGGTTCAGAAATTGGTTTTATGAGTTTATGATTTTCATATCCTGACACTAATAAGCTGCAGTGCAGATCAATTGTGTTATTTCTGTGTGCCTCAAAGCGCTGAGGTTTATCATTCGCCCTCTGGTGGATGAATGCGTTATAAACACATCTGACTGAAATAAACGCAGACTGGGTTTGTTATTAGTGCCTTTTACTCAGTCAAGCAACACTATTGTTATTGATATGATCCAGCAGAGCATTAAAGAAATAGTTCACCCCAAAATAAAAATTTGCTGAGATTTTACTCACCCTCAGTCCATCCAAGATCAGGATGAGTTTGTGTCTTCATCAGGTTTGGAGAAATGTAGCATTGCGTCAGTGTCTCAGCAATGGATGCTCTGCAGTGAATGGGTGCCGTCAGAATGAGAGTCCAAACAGCTGATAAAAACATCACAATAATCCACAGCACTCCAGTCCATCAGTGAACATCTGGAGAAGACAAAAGCTGAGACAAATCCAGCATTAAGACTTTTTAAACTAGAGTCCATAATCCATAATAACTCTTCCTCCAGTGAAAAGGTGTTCTGGTCTGAATCAGGAGAGAAATCTGCACAGATCAAGCAGCGTTTAAGCAGCTCTAAACAAATATGTGTCTGGATTTTGATGTGAGAGACAACAGCAGATCTGGAGGAAGTGTTATTATGGATTATGGACTCATTTTAGTTATAAACGTCTTAATGCTGGATTTGTTTCAGCTTTTGTCTTCTCCAGATGTGAACTGATGGACTGGAGTGCTGTGGATTATTGTGATGTTTTTATCAACTGTTTGGACTCTCATTCTGACGGCACCCATTCACTGCAGAGCAGAAGATCAATCTGTCATGTTTTTCTAATCTAAGCTCATTTCTTTTTGGCACAGACGTGGACTGACGACATCCTGGCTATAGCATATAACACACTGAGAGCGAACGCCTGCAGACAGTTCTTCCTGGAGAAAGTGTGAGGATTTGTGCGGTCAATTTCAGACTAGTCACGACATGACAAATATTGATTTATATTCCCAATATTCCATATTCTGTCGTCTTTATAGGTATGTCCGCCTCTCACTGCAGACCAACAAAGATGGGAAAATCCCTGTTAAAAAGTACGAAAAAAAAACATTTATATAAAAAAATGCATTATATCACATTCAAAAAGTTTGGGTCATTAAGATTTTTTTTAACTGATACTTTTATTCACCAAAGATGCATTAAATTGATCAAAAGTGAGAATAAAGACATTATAACGTGACAAAAGATTTCCATTTCAAACAAATGCTGTTCTTTTGAACTTTTTATTCATCAAATAATCCAGAAAAATAAAATGCATCACGGTTTCCACAATAATATTGTGCAGCACGACTGTTTTCAACATTGATAATAATCAAAAATGTTTCTCGAGCAGCAAATCAGCATATTATACTGATTTCTGAAGATCATGTGACACTGAAGACTGGAGGAATGATGCTGAAAATACAGCTGCGCATCACAGAAATACATTACAGTTTAACACATATTCACACAGAAAACAGCTGTTTTAAATTGTAATAATATTTCAAATTTTTTACTGCATTTTTGATCAAATAAATGCAGCCTGGGTGAGCATAAAAATCTTACCGACCTCAAAATTTAGAAAAGAACAGCATTTGGGATGCTAATTTAATTTGTGTCACACATTAAACTGATGCTTAATATTTAATATCTTCTCCTAATGATCTTAATCCTTCGTCTCAGTATCTTTAAGATGTTTCCAGCAGACAAGAAAAGGGTTGAAGCTGCTCTGGCCGCAGCAAGTCTCCCCAAAGGAAAGGTGTGAGTGAGTGTGTGAGTGAGAGTGAGAGTGAGAGTGTGAGTGAGAGTGTGAGTGAGAGTGTGAGTGAGAGTGTGAGTGAAGGGTGTGGGTGTGTGAGTGTGTGAGTGAGTGTGTGTGTGAGTGTGAGTGTGAGTGTGTGAGTGTGTGAGTGTGTGAGTGTGTGAGTGTGTGAGTGTGTGAGTGTGTGAGTGTGTGAGTGTGTGAGAGTGTGAGAGTGTGAGTGTGTGAGAGAGTGAGAGTGTGTGTGTGTGTGTGAGTGAGTGAGTGTGTGAGTATGCAGTGTTTAACCATCAGTCGTCTTGTGTTGTTAGTTTGACACCATCAAGCCTGATGTGTTCACTGAAGCAGCCTTCAAGACCTTCATACTCAATCTGTGTCCCAGACCTGAAATCAATGAAATCTTCACGTCCTTGTGAGTGAACGCACTGCATGTGTTCATTTGATCATTTGATCTGATCATTAGTCAGTGTTTGATTATGACCTTCTTAGCACGAAAGGAAAGGGATTCATGACAAAGGAGATGATGACCAAGTTCCTGAACGAGAAACAGCGAGATTCCCGTCTCAATGAGGAGCTGTTTCCGCTCGTCAGACCCGAACAGGTGAAGAATCTCATCGAGAAATACGAGCCGAGCTCGTCCAACGCCAGCCGCGGTGAGTGTCCCACAGAGCTCAGTTTAATGAGCGATTTTTTTACAATTAAAAAAATATATCTGAGATGCAGAGTTATTTTAGTATTATTGATTTAAATAATATTTTGAATCAGTTTTTATTTTTTTGTTTGATTTTGTGCTTTTGTCCGTTTTTTTCTTTTTTTTCTGTAGCTTTCATTTTAATTTTGTAATTTTTAGTACTTCAGTGTAAACTTACTTCCTTTCAGTTTCTAGTTTTTGTATTTTCAAGTTGTTAATATATCTTACATTAACATTATTATTAATCTACATGTATTGTCTTGATCCACTGGCAGCAGTTTTGTTCATGTAATAAAAAATAAAATGAAAAAAATAAAATAAAATATTATTCATATGTCTGCTGTCTTGACCCATTGGCAACAGTTTTATTCATGTTTTAAGCAGAAACATCACTAAATTATATTACATTTATGCTTAAAATAATACGTCTTCATATCAAAGTACATTTTAAGAAATTGTATCTTATTCCAAAATTAAAATAAAAATGGAAAATCTAAATATTAAAACTAGTTCAAAATATTAATAAAAACTATAATATAATATAATATTATACTAATATAATATAAATAAAAAAAAACTATATAGACATTTAAAAACATAACTAATAAAAATTACATGCACAGCAAATTTAGTAAAACTTTAACTTAAATTAAAATAAAAGTGGAAATTCTAAAAATAAGTTCAAAATATGAATGAAAACTATAATATAATGTTAATTAAAACTACATACACATAAAAAAAACATAACTAATAAAAATGACAAAATTAATAAAACCTTAACTTAAAATTAAAATTAAAATCAAAATATTAATAAAAACTATAATAATATATAAACTAAGTCAGTCACATTAGATCAGCTCAGTTAATAACAACACAGTGTTTTCGATGTGTGCCTGTATTTGTGAAGGTTCATTCGAAGTCTGTTGCTGCTGCAGGTCAGATTTCTCCAGATGGTTTGATGTTTTATCTGATGGGATCTGAGACATCAGTGGTGAAACTGGACAAACTGGCCCAGAGTCACGATATGACCCAACCCATCCCACATTACTTCGTCAAATCCTCCCACAACACCTATCTCACAGGTGAGGAGGAAACTAAAGCAGTGACTCGGGGCTCGACACTCAGCGTGTTTATAGAAGGGTCAATTCGTCAAAATTGAGATTTGTACAAGATGAATACATAAGCGTTCCATTGATGTATGGTTTGTTAGGAAAGGACAATATTTGAAAATCTGGAATCTGAGGGTGGATGTGACCCTGGAGCACAAAACCAGTCGTAAGGGTCAATTCGTCAAAATTGAGATTTGTGCAAGATGAATACATAAGCGTTCCATTGATGTATGGTTTGTTAGGATCGGACAATATTTGAAAATCTGGAATCTGAGGGTGCAAAAAAATCGAAATATTGAGAAAATCATCTTTAAAGTTGTCCAAATGAAGTTCTTAGCAATGCATATCACTAATCAAAAATTAAGTTTTGATATATTTACGGCAGGAAATTTACAAAATATCTTCATGGAACATGATCTTTACTTAATATCCCAATGATTTTTGGCATAAAAGAAAAATCAATAATTGTGACCCATACAATGTATCTTTGGCTATTGCTACAAATATCCCCCAGCGGCTTAACACTGCTTTTAGGGTCACATATTTAGTTGAAAGCGTGTGTTGTGTGCAGCGGGGCAGCTGACGGGCGTCTCGTCTCCGGAGATGTACCGCCAGTGTCTCCTCGCCGGGTGCCGCTGTCTGGAGCTCGACTGCTGGAAGGGCAAACCTCCGGATGAAGAGCCAATCATCACCCACGGCTTCACCATGACAACCGAGATCCTCTTCAAGGTGGGTTCCTCCAATCGGAGCTCTCGCTGTGATTATGGGATGCGCAGTGGAGGCTCATAATCAATGCAAGCTAAACGTGAAAATCGGGAGCAGCTCTTGCAGTAACTTCACCTCAACTCAAAAACTAAATACACAGATACATATAAACACCCTCGTGAAAAAACACACTTTAGCATACTTTTTAAAAAAGCGTACTTATTACAGAAATTCAATTCTTTAAAAGAATATACTAAAGTGTTTTTGTGCACTTAATTGCATGTTGGTTGCAATTAAACTGTATTATAGTTTAAATTTGTGTTAAATTAAATTATATGAACTTTAGAGTGCTTTTTGACCCACCTAAGTACATTTTTATACGTAATTTTATAATTACTTCTATTGTCTTTGAAATATGGTTAAAGTTTACTGCCCAGTGTATTGACAAAGTAGTATAATGATTTAAAATGTGCTTTAGTATGTTAGTCAGCTTATTTAAAGCATGACAAAAAAATTATTCAAACATAATTATTTAAAATGTACTTTAAATGTAATATATATATATATATATAATTGGAATATATTTAATTAAATGAATTAAAATTTAAAAAACGTTGAAATAAAATAAATAAAATAAAATAACTTAACATAACATAAATAAAAAATAATAATAAAATAAAATAAGTAAACTAAAATAAATTGACAACCAAACCAAAATAAAGTAAACTAAAATAAAATGACAACCAAAATAAAAAAATAAATAAAATAAAAAAACAATGGCAAAACAACCTATTATAATAAATGTCACATTTAGTGGAATTAAAAATCTATATGATAATGCGAACATGAAAATTATTTCCCGTCTTACCACAATTTACCTAATAGCTTGTAATACATATTCATCAGCCAAAGTTTCTTCCCAGTTTTTTTTTTTTTTTTCTGAAAAAGTTTTAGCATATCGAAATGTTTACTGTTATAGCTGATGGAAATACTGCTTAACATAACATAAATAAAAAAAATAATAAAATAAAATAAGTAAACTAAAATAAAATGACAACCAAACCAAAGTAAAGTAAAGTAAAGTAAATGGTGACCAGTTACATGAAATAACATAAACTGGTAACACTTTACAAAAAAGTTCCATTTATTAACATCAGTTAAATATATTACTTAACATGAACTAACAATGAAAACTACTTCTAAAGCATTCATTAATCCTAGTTATTGTTAAGTTAAACATTTTAAATTATTAAAATCAAAAGCATTAAAACATTCTAATTTAAAATGAACTTTAACATAATCTAATTTGACTTTATTGCAATTTAATGGCCTTTTTATTTAATTAATATGATATTATCTACAGTTTTTATAAATGTACTTTTAAGGTTTGAAGTACACTACAAGTGCGCGTTCAGTGTGATTAAGTGGACTTGTTTTCTTCACGAGGGTAAAGAGTGTTCTTTCTTCATGACAGGATGTGATCGAAGCGATTGCTGAGAGCGCCTTCAAAACATCCAAGTATCCTGTGGTCCTTTCCTTTGAGAACGTCGATTCGTAAGACACATCTTTAATATTTGATTGACAAATGAACACATGTTGCAGGCTTGCTGGTGTGATATTTCGGATGTGATATAAATGGGCTCATGTGTTTGTTTCAGAGTGAAGCAGCAGGAGAAGATGGCCCACTACTGCAGGACGATCTTTGGAGACGCTCTGCTCGTTGACGTACTGGACAAATATCCTGTGAGTTCACATGTTGGGTCCAAACGCTTCATATATATGTGACATATTATGCATCATCTGAAAGCTGAACAAATAAGCTTTCCATTGATGTATGGTTTGTTAGGATAGGACAATATTTGATCGAGATACAACTAAAATGCGATTTAAAAATGATAAAATTAAATAAATTAAAATAAATGGTGATCAGTTGCACAAAGTAAAATTAACTTTACATTAAGGTTACATTAGTTCACATTTACATTTACATTAGTTAACTATATTGGTTAACATGAACTACCGATACAATATTTCGAAAGCATTTAAAATTGACAAGTGAAGTCAAAAATGTAATTAAACATAAAATAAAAGAATAAAATAAATGGTGGTGTTCATTTTAGTTGCATTACTTTACATTATTATTTAGTTACATTTTGTTAACATTACTTAATATGAACTAAAAATAAAAAATACTTCTACATAAAAATAAAAAAACCTCTAAAGCACTAAATGGACTAGAGGCGATGAAAATGTGATTAGAAATGATAAATAAAATAGTTACATGAACTAAAATTAACAATTTACAATAAAGATCTATTTGTTAACTATATTATTTAATATGAACTAATAATACAAATATTTATAAAGTATTTAAAATAACTAGAGAAAATTACAAATAAATAAAATAATAAAATTTAATAAAATTAAATAAAATTAAAATAAACTAAAATAAACCAGTAACACTTTACAGTGAGGTTCAGTTTGTTAACATTACTTATCTATATTAGTTAACAATGAATGATACTTCTAAAGCATTCACTAATCTTAGTTATTGTTAATTTGAACATTTACTAAACCATAATTAAAAGCAAAAGTTGTATTTTATATGTTTTTAACAGACCTGAGCTAGCATTGAATGGTTGTATTTTTATTAATTGTTATTAACTAGTTCTGTCAAACAATTAATCGCATCCAAAATAAAAGTTTTGTTTACATAATATATGTGTGTGTGCTATGTATATTTATTATGTATATATAATACACACACATATGCATGTACTGTATATATTTAAGAAAAAATATGTTTTGTTTATATATAAAATATATAAACAATTAGATGCGATTAATCGTTTCACAGGACTAATGTTAACAAAGATTAATAAATACTGTAACAAAGTTTTGCTCAAAATATTGCTGTTAATGCATTAACGAACATGAATTAATGGAACCTTATTGTAAAGTGTTACCAATGAACTGTTAGTTGTAATTCGACTTAATATCTGATCTGATCTTCTCTGGTGTGTTTTCAGCTGAAGCCGGGTCATCCGGTGCCGAGTCCGTCTGAGCTGATGGGTAAAATACTGATCAAGAATAAGAAAAGCAGCGCACCTGCCAGCAAACCAGAACAAGCCAAGAAAGCATCTGGTCACGAACAAACAAACACACCTGCGGACGATTCGGAGTCCAACCAACCCGCCGATCCAAACCAACCCGCTCCAGCTAACCCAGAGGCCAGCGACCCGCCGCCAGCAACCGGTCAGTTCATCTACTAACCAGTCCTCAAACTAGTCTTCAGTGTCAGTGGACTGCTTCTGGCCCTCTTCGTTTAGGAGTCACACTTGCTTCCTTCGCGGTCAAAAGTGACCGAAGCCTTGAAATAGTGCTGGGCGGTATACCGGTTCATACCGAATACCGGTGTTTTTTTTTTGTTATGATATGAATTTTTTAAATACCGCAATACCGGGGTATGTCGCTTAAACAGTGTTGGGAACGCGACACTGTTTGAAAGAAGTCCCTTTTCACTGTTGCACTGTGTTGAGGGAACAGCTGTATGTGTTACTAAGCGTGAAAGTTCAGAAACTGAAGCTGTAGAACTAATAGAACGTGATGACACAGAAGAACTCATCCACAATATCCACATTGACCTCCACAAATATCCAGCGCCCGCTGCCATCAGCTCCCACGTCTCTCACACACTCACTCACTCACACACTATTTATGATTTTGAGGGAATTTTATGATACTATGCAATATTTATAAAATTTGAATGAGCTATTTTCCCCATTAGAATTAATATAAAAAATATATATTTCTTTATTTATTTGCTATGTTTTAATAAATGCAATATTTCACATTAATATAGAGTGAAGGCATTTAAAATAAAAAAATTTTTAAGTGAGAATTGGTCCATCTGGAGGCATTAAAACATAAAAACGTGTGTAATGTTGCGTAACCTCTTGTATTAGCACCCTATATACAGTGGGGCAAAAAAGTATTTAGTCAGCCACCAATTGTGCAAGTTCTCCCACTTAAAAAGATGAGAGAGGCCTGTCATTTTCATCATAGGTATACCTCAACTATGAGAGACAAAATTTCCCGAGGAATTTACCAATTAATTCTTTAAAAATCCTACAATGTGATTTTCTGGATTTTTTTTTTCTCATTTTGTTTCTCATAGTTGAGGTATACCTATGATGAAAATTACAGGCCTCTCTCATCTTTTTAAGTGGGAGAACTTGCACAATTGGTGGCTGACTAAATACTTTTTTGCCCCACTGTAGATACAGTATATACAGAGGCTTTTGGATTCCCGTTGTTTTTTTAGACATAATTTCTTCATTTTTTTAGGTTTTGCATTTAGATATATATCTAGACATTCTAAAAGACTACTTTTTGTCAAGGTTTAGATATTTATGGTTAGATAAGTATCAGGTTTTACATTATGATTGCAGTCAAACATTAAAATCTTGTTAGAAAGAGAACACATAGAAAGCATTTTTGTTACTCGTTATTTCATCATTAAAAAGCTAACAAAATAAGGAATGGACAGTGATAATTCAAAACACTTTATACAAACATTAATTGATATTTTATTCAATGTTATTCAATAAATGTTAATCATACTTCAGAACAAAAAATGAAAATGAATTTTTTTTTTCGTATTTCCCATTCATTTTGACCGCGAAGAAGTCAAGTGTGACTGTTTTTTTTTAACCCTTTAACATATCCAAATCATATCCGTGATTTGTGTGTGTGTTCATATTGCTAATGTGACAAAAGTCACCAAATGTCATCTTCATTGGAATGAAGCTAATACTACAATTTTTTGTAGTAGTTGATTCAGCGGTCCGGAAAAACAAAACCCATTGAAAATAACAGTATTTTGTGTCCAGCTGCTCCAGATGAGCGTGAAGAACATGATGACCACGATGAACAGGATGAAGAGAAGATGAAGAACTCTGATGAGGTGAAGTAGACCGTATGTATGTGACCCTGCAGCACAAAAGCAGTGTTAAGTCGCTGGGGGATATTTGTAGCAATAGCCAACAATACATTGTATGGGTCACAATTATACATTTCTCTTTTATGCCAAAAATCGATATTATCATGCGCTCTTTCACTGCATGATTCAATCTCTTAAAATTAATTTAGAATGCTCACAAAATTCAAGATATGGGGGCAGAACATTTATATATTTTTATCATTTCATATAGTTAATCAATATCGCACGAAGAGTGCCGGTTTTTTTTTACCTCCAAAAATCAGCATGATTACAAATCGAGCGATATAGATTTTTTTTTTGTTAATCAAGAGACAACATTGCTCTATTTTGACAACAATAATAATTCCAAACAGCCACAGCACTGTTTTTGTCTTTACTCTCACTTTTGGAAAAATTGTAATGCATCCTTGCTGAATAAAAGTATTAATGTCTGCATGCGTGTTTTTGAAGAGTAGTGCATGCTGCCGTGAAACTGGCCATGTTGTAAAGACACTCCAAGCTGCTTTTTAAAAGTAATTGTTTGCTACATAATGACTTCTCTTTATGAACCAACATCTGTTGAGTCTCTATACTTTGTCATTTCCTCTCAGGGAACCGCTGGACAGGAAGTGACAGCGTATGAAGAGATGTCCGCTCTGGTCAACTACGTGCAGCCCAACAAATTCATCTCTTTTGAGAACGCAGCCAGTGAGTTCAGAGCGGATTCTCTTGATGCGCTCATATGTGTGATGCACCTGAAACCTCCTCTAATGCACAATTACACAATAAATATAATGCACTTTTTTGGCAAATTATTCCCATTTGAGCTATAAATATGCAAAATCAAATGTATAAACCAATAAAATGTAGTGAAATGATTTAAATTTCACCCTTATGTTTACCTAGTAACACTTTTTTAGCTTTTCATTAGTTCAAGCTTTAAGGGCTGCGGATTTGCGTCAAAATAAAATTGAGATGGTTTGATGTTTGAAAATGAAGAAATTAAAAAGAAAATAATTTTACAAGTAATGTAAAAGAAAATAATTATTTTCTTGTTTTACAGTGAAATGGAACAATAGTTTTTATTTAGCAATTTTTATGTTGTTATTTAATAATAATAATAATAATTGTAATTCACCCAGAAATAATAAAATCATAATAAAAGTTTGATGGTTTAACGTTTAAAATGAATACACTAAGACAGCCATATTTATTAATATTGTAATTTTACAGTAAAATAAAATTATTATTATTATATTTTCTTATATATATATATTTTTATATCACAATAATAATATGTCTTATTTGTCTTCATTCATAAAATTTAATATTTTTATTTAATAATAATAATAATTATTATTATTTTTTACTTTTATTATAAGAAAATGTGCTGCATCGTAGGACTGGATCTGTTGTTTCTGCCTTCTGTCCCATGTGTTTCATACTGACGTGTTTTCACCATCTGATTCTGTCCAAATATAGAAAAAAACAAGAGTTTTGTCATCTCTTCCTTCGTGGAAACCAAAGGGGAGAGTCTGATCGCTAAGAACGCTGTGGACTGGGTCGAGTATCCTTTACTCTGACATGTCCTCTCAGTTAGATTCAGACTCAGTGTTTTCTGGTGTTTGGATGTCAGTGCTTTCCTGAACTGATGACTGTAGATATAATAAGAGGCAGATGAGTCGTATCTACCCTAAAGGAACCCGTGTGGACTCTTCAAACTACAGTCCTCAGCCCTTCTGGACCGCCGGCTGCCAGTTTGTGGCGCTCAACTACCAGACTATGGGTGAGACGCTTATGTTGGGTCAAATCACAGTGAACATACGGCAGCTAATACAGTAATTCAATTACAGAGATGTAAACTTAAAATAAATCATTTCATAATATAGATTATTTTTAAAAAATAATAATAATAATAATATTTTGTAAAAAAAATAAAAATAATAATAAATAAATATATTTTTTGTATGTTTGTTATTGCAGGTTTTTGTCAATAAATGATTTGTTAATTTAAAAATATGCAAGAATGTCATTACATTAGCTCAGGGTTTGCCAAACTGGGGTTCATGCGTTGATGAAAAGCTAATATTTAATTAAATGATAAAAGTGTAAAAAGTAAAAAAAATAATAAATAAAAAAAAATAAATAAATAAAAATAATTTTTTTTTTTTTTTTTTTTTTTTTTTTTTTAAAAATACAAAATTATTTTAAAAAAAGGTCACAAAATAAAACACTTCATAAAAAGAAAAGAAAAATCTTTATTTAAAATGTAATTTTATTTTGTTGTAATTTTGAATCGTTTTTTTATTGCAGGTTTTTGACCATAAATTACTCGTTTATTTAAAAATGTCATTATAAATGCCATTTATTAATCATAAAAATGTAAAAATTAAAATAAACAATTATAAACAATTTTAAAATAAAACACATCAGCCAAAATAAAAACAATCAAAATGAAAACAAGAAAAACAATAAATTACGTTTTTTTTAAAAATTATTATTTAAAATGTCCTTTTTTATGTTTAGGCTGTGAACATGCAGATGTGTTGTTTAATCATCAAAAAGGGGTTCAGACAATGTTGTGCAAATCTTTTCATTAACCTTCACTTTTATTTTTTTGTCTCTGGTGTTTTATTGATATTAGTGGATGTATGAAGTTTGTTCTCTTCAAGTGTCCTAGCTGAATAATCACAGGTGTAAAATATACTTAACACATATATCTCATGTCATTACTTCTGTGGGTTTTAAAAAGGACCACACCGGCTCTTTATGTTGTTGATGTCCTGTCACTGTGTCTGTGGGTTAATGGTGTGATGTGTGTTTGATGCTGTAGATTTCCCCATGCAGCTGAACATGGCTCTGTTTGAGTTTAACGGCAGGACGGGTTACCTCCTCAAACACGACGTGGTCCGTCGCAGCGACAAGAAGTTTGATCCTTTCACCGACAGGATTGACTATTTAGCCTAGATCATAGAAATGAAGTATCAAAATATTAGATACCTTAAAAAACGTACAAAGTACAAAAAAAGAAAAATGCATAAAGGACGTGCATGGAGATTTTTCCATCTACAGATTTTTCCCTGACCTTCTTTTCTCTGTAAAGTAAGGGTGCACACTATTGCTGAAAAACACAAGCACTACTCAGCAGTCAGATGTCCGTATGCACAAAGACACAGATCCCTAAACAAGGCCATATCTGCAGATGAAACTTTGTTTGTAGAAGCATTTTTTAAATTTGATCTAGCACTTCATGACTTCACCACGTTATGTACGAGAAGCTGCAGAAGACACAGGCGCAAGTGGAATGTACAAAACACGGTGACATTCATTTTTAAGTAAATATAATGGGCGATATATTGCGTCACCAAAACTGATTGAGGTCATGTACACTGTAAAAAAAATTCCATAAAATTTACGGTAAAAAAAACGGCAGCTGTCAGAATTTTACCGTAAAAAATATGGTAGCAACATTTCAGGTTTTACGGTTTTAACTTAAATTCACAATTAAATACCGTAATTTCATTAACTGAAATAATGTTAATATAACAACCTACTGAAGTACTGAAATCTGTTTTGTAGCTTTGTAATACACTGATAACCACCAAATGCAGGAGGTGATGAGAAAGTCACATGATGAACCAAAGCCCATCACAAGCAGCTTTTAAATAATAACATTAATAGAAGGTGCACAGCGTCATTCACACAAACACTAAACACCATCACGGTAACACACATGAAACTGAAATAATGCAATAAACATTAATTTAACAACATTACCCTACATATACAATACATAACACACAACCCTAATATACAAAACTGATAAGAAAAAACTAAGAAGAAACATAGTTATTTCAATTAAAAAACATCAAATTTGAAATGTAATGCAGGGAATTCTGGGAATGTCAATTTACGGTTATTAACTGTAAATTATACAGTCTTTTTCACTTCCAAAAACTCTATACTACCGTAAAATTACATGTAATGTCCAATACAGTTTTTCACCGTATATAGTAGGGGAATTTACCGTTAACCATTTAACAGGTTTTTACTGTAGCATTTTTTTTTTTTTTGCACTTTTACCATTAAATTCACGGTAATTTTTTACAGTGTACATATATTGCGCGATAAGTCGATATATTGATTATTGCGACAGGCCTAATCTGATTACGTAACTCTCGTTACTTGTAATGCGTTACCCCCAACACTGTTCATGACACACGCGAGTTTGAGCTGCTCAGAGCCTGACGTCTGTGTGATGTTGAGCAGGTCTTGCTGCCGGAGATGGCTTACCTCAGACTCGTGGTTCAGGAGGAGGGAGGCAAGTTTTTAGGGCACCGAATCATCCCTCTGGACGCTCTGCAGACAGGTGAGAAGTGCACTTTAGCATGCTTCTATACATGTACTTATTACGCAAATAATCTACTATAAAAGAATATACTCGTGTGAATTAAATGTAACCTTTTCAAAAACCTAAATGCATATAATTTGTAATTGATTTAAATGTATTATAGTTTAAATTTATATTAAAGGCTAATTAAGAGTGATTTTTTTATGACCCATTTAAGTGGGATTTTAATACATGTTTATATGTGCTTTCATAATTGCATCTATTGTATCTTTTTAAATACGGTTAATGTAATAAGCAATTAACTAAAATAAACTAAAATATTGATTACATTAACAGTATTATATATTTAAATATATACTGTATGTAAATACCTTTTTTGGTAACATTTTACAATAAGGTTCCATTTATTAACTACATCAGTGAACATAGAAATGAATAATACTTGTAAAGCATTCATTAATCTCAGTTCATATTAATTTTAACATTTACAAATACATTATTAAATGCAAAGTTGTATCTATCAATATTAGTTAATGGACCTGAGCTAACATGAACTAACAATGAACAGTTGTACTTTTTTTTTAATTAATGCTAACAAAGATTAATAAATGCTGTAACAAATGTATTGCACATTGTTAGTTGATATTAGTTAATGCATTAATCAACATTAACTAATGGACCTTATTGTAAAGTATTACCTATTTTTTCTATGAAGTTGCAATTTAGTATATTTAAAATCTATTTCAACTAAAACTATAATGTATTTTTAATAAGTAGTCTGACTAAAATTAAATGTATTTTAACTGAATTTAAATACATTTTGTTATAACGATTTTAATGGGTCTTAATTTAGAATTAATTTTCAAACATTTAAGCTGTGATGCATTTAAATTACCAGTGTGGTTTACAACACTATACACATTTAAAGGGGTCCTATTATGCTCTTTTACAAAGTCTTGATTTTGTTTTGGGGGTGTACTAGAACAGGCTCTCATACTAGGTTGTTCGAAAAACACATTATTTTTCACATAATTTACATTATTACAACACCTCTCTCCTCAGTCTGGCATGAACGGCTCGAATAGTTCCTGTATCAAATGAAGGCCCGCCTTCTGAAATACGAAATGTGTTGTGATTGGTTAGCTGGGCCGGTGTGTGCTGTGATAAATCTAATATTTCATGCACATTTATTTGAGAAGTAGCCTTGTAATAAGTGTGATAATGTACAATAATTCAGACATTATTGCAAAATAAACTACATGTATGAAATGTCTCCACCGCTTAGTGCCAGGCTCCTGTCTGTCCATAAATTGCCCCATGTGTCACTTACCACTTTTATAAATGCTAAAAGATGAAAATGAAGCACGTCTCACACGGATCTGACTGTAATCTGTTCCAGAGTTTAACATACGTGTGTGAATATGAGTTACCTCTCGCTGACGGCGCACAGACGGCGGCCACTCCTGCAGCTGCCGCAGGTAAATAACATGCATGTGATGGACATTGCTTATAAAACACTGACATGGTGTGTGTGTTTCTTTAATAAATCATAGTACACTATGAAATACCTGACTGTATTTGAATATTAATTTGTCAATTTAACTGCACTGATACGATTGGATGAGATAACTTTGAATTTTTTATATTATTGTATATTATAAATGTAAAAATTTTATGAATTCAAATATGTTTTCTGTTTTGATTTGAATTTATTTATTAATTTAGTGTTAGTAATTTTAGTGCTTGAACATATTTTATTTCATTTAGTTTTTGTGTTGTGTGTTTTGTGATTTTTAGTAGTTTTTCTTTTCTTTTTTTTCTTTTTTAAGTATTTTTTATTAATTTTTAATTTAGTTTTGGTAATAGTATATTAATAACCCTGATTTGTCAGTGTTATGTTAGCATTATTTATATGCTATTATAGTTTTTATTTTTATATTTTCACTTTTTATTTAGTCTTTAGTCATTGCTTTATATGCTTTGGCCATTTTTTTTTTTAGTATTTTTGTTATGTGCTTTTGTCATTTGTATTATTGTTATTTTTAATTGAGCTGAATAACAAACAGAACCTGAACCAAAACCAGAACCTGAAGCCAAACCAGAGGAAAAAACAGAACCCGAAACAAAACCAGAGGAAAACACTGAACCAGAACCAGACCCTGAACCAAAATCAGAAGAAAAAAAGAGCGCGGGCAAGAAGTAAATGCAGAACGAACACACTCTCTTATAGGCAGTGTTATTTTATACTATTGCAGTATTTTCAAATTCCATATATTTTCTCAATTTAGTTACATTTTTATTAATTTTATAAATTTTTTTATTTCAGTTTTAGTTTGTTTTTTCTCTACTGAGAAGCAAAACTGCGCAAGATAAGACTTTTTCAGATAATATATCTTGCATTAACATTAATTTTCTATTTTTAGTTGAAGTTTTAGTAATTTTATGTACGTTTGTCATTTTTATTCGTTTTCGATTTTTTTATATTTCTTTTTTTTTTTCTTCTAATGTTAGTACTTAAACCTATTTTATTTCATTTAGTTGCCAAGGCGGAATTTCTCATTGAAATTTTTTTTTTTAAGTTTGAGTTTTTTATCTAATACATACATTTCATTTCAGATTTATTTCAATTAAAGACTTTTTTTTTTAACAATTTCGGTTTTAGTAAACAATATACATACTGGTGATTGGCTCTGTCTTATGGAAAATTCTAAACCTGACAAAATTAGAAATACATAAATAGGATAACTAAATATACAAAGAAATGTAAAAAAAAGAAATATACAAAGAAAATAAAAAAATATTTATACTTTTATTTCCTTATGTATATTTTTATTTTTTCCCCACATTTATTTTTTTTTCTTTTATTTATACTTTTATTTGTTTCCACTTTTATTTATTTCCACATAAATAAATAAATTTAAATATACGTAAGGAAATAAACGTATAAATAATTATTACTATTTTTTTTCTCTTCTTTGTATATTTATCAATATATTTATTTATTTGTTTAGTTTTGCTTGTTTACATTTCTCTGTATATTTATTTATTTCTAATTTTGTCAGGTTTGGAATTCCATAGGTTCTGTTTTAGATCAGTGGTGGTCTTCATTAAACTAGCAAAGAAGTCTGGTGTGCATCCACGTTTAGCTCTCTTGAGTCGCGAAAAACACTTCCGTTGAACTTCAGTGTTTCGTGTTTTTGTCCCGTGAGATGTGTGTTGTGTGTTGATCTCTGGTTAAGTGATTGTGTTTGTCCCCATGTGATTGTCCAGGTCTGGAGATGATCCCGGTGATCAGATGAATGAACTCAAGCAGAAGCTGAAGTCGGAGCTCAGGGCGCTACTAGTGGAGCAACACGATCAAATCAAGAAGAAGAAAGAACAAAACAACACTGAGGTAAAGACACAGACATTATTACTGTACAGTGAGACTGTGACCTAAATTACACTGTCAGAACTCCAGCAGAGCCTGAACTGCATCACAAAGATAATTCATTAGCCATCGGAGAGAGTGTTTTTGCCGTACAGTCAAAGAAATCTGCAGATTTGGTTTCAGAAATCATCCACATATACACACAGTGTAAATCTGCTAGCAAGCATTTTCAAAAAGCACATGAATGTCTGTCTAATTAAAACATGATTGGCACGAAGGGTTTCACTTGTGCCAAACAAACACAATAATCACACAGTGATCACAGTTTTTGTTTTACATTATATAATATAAACCGCAATAATAATAGTAATCGTTATTATTATTATTGTTTTATGAATTATTTTTTATTTCAGCCATACTCAGCATTTTAATTAGCCAGTTATTATTATAATTTTATTAAATTTTTTAATGAATTATTAATGAAGAGTTTCAATTAGATCATTATTATTATTATTTATTTATTTTTTCATTGATTTCAGCCATAATGAGCATTTTAATTAGCCTATTATTTATTTATTTTTACGAATTCTTGTTTGATTGTGGCCATACTGAGCATTTCAACGAGCCAAACATCTCCTCAGACCTGCGCTGTTCCCGCTGGCCGTGAGCCAGGACTCTCTCAGGTATTGATTACCCATCAGCACTCCGCTGCTCTGTGCAGTCAGTAGATCTGCATAGATGAGGGGTCAATCATGTCCCGTACTGGAAGAGTAAACCTGACCGGACCCACGAACACCCTCTTACACTCATATTGACCATCTCTGAATGGATCTGTGCTCGGGCTCCGAGAAAAGACAAAAGACTCCTCAGAGCTCAACAATAAGGACTGCCTGGTCGGGCCGCTGCTGCATCGTCACGAAAGTTTATCATTTGCACGTGTTTTTAAGCATTCGTTTATACAGTGTAGAATATGCAATGTTATTGTACATTTGACTATTAATTTCTATACCTGAACAGTCAGGCTAGTATTTATCGAAATTGGAATCAAGAATTTTGGCATCATATAAGCTTATTTATTAGAATACAAGATAACATTTGTCAAAAACAACAATAACTATATATATATATATATATATATATATAATTTTATTTTATTTTTTTGTGGCAGGGCAAGTAAAAAATGTAACCACTGTCCCGAACAGGCCAGCAGAAAAAATCCTTATTGTTGAGCCCTGCTCCTGCTTATATTTAATCAATCATGATCTGGTACTAGTGCTCCTGTGATGTGATGAAACCTCTAACACTAAGTATTAAAGTTCATTGTTTGTCGCCCAGCAGTGTTTGTGCTCCAGACATGAATAATTCCTCAAATCTTGTAAGGGAGACACCTTAGCAACCCCATAACAACACTCCAAAAAGCACTCTGAAAAAAAACTAGCAACCGCAGAGCAACGCTCTAAAACACTCAAATTAACCTAACAACCGCATAGCAACACTCTAAAACATTCAGAACAACACAGAAACCGCATAGTAACACTCAAAAACACTCAAAATAACCTAGCAACCACATAGCAACACTCAAAATAGCCTAGCAACCACATAGCAACACTCGAAAACACTCAAAATAACCTAGCAACCATATAACACTCTAAAACACTCAGAACAACACAGAAACCGCATAACAACACTCAAAATAACCTAGCAACCATATAACAACACTCTAAAACACTCAAAATAACCTAGCAACCATATAACAACACTCTAAAACACTCAGAACAACACAGAAACCGCATAGCAACACTCAAAATAACCTAGCAACAACATAGCAACACTCAAAATAACCTAGCAACCACATAGCAACACTCAAAATAACCTAGCAACCACATAACAACACTCAGAACAACACAGAAACCGCATAGTAACACTCAAAATAACCTAGCAACCACATAGCAACACTCGAAAACACTCAAAATAACCTAGCAACCACATAGCAACACTCAAAATAACCTAGCAACCACATAGCAACACTCGAAAACACAGCAACACTCAAAATAACCTAGTAACAACATAGCAACACTCAAAATAACCTAGCAATCACATAACAGCACTCTAAAACACTCAGAACAACACAGAAACCGCATAGCAACACTCAAAATAACCTAGCAACAACATAGCAACACTCGAAAACACTCAAAATAACCTAGCAACCACATAGCAACACTCAAAATAACCTAGCAACCACATAACAGCACTCTAAAACACTCAGAACAACACAGAAACCGCATAGCAACACTCAAAATAACCTAGCAACAACATAGCAACACTCGAAAACACTCAAAATAACCTAGCAACCACATAGCAACACTCAAAATAACCTAGCAACCACATAACAACATTCTAAAACACTCAGAACAACACAGAAACCACACAGCAACACTCAAAATAACCTAGCAACAACATAGCAACACTCAAAATAACCTAGCAATCACATAACGGCACTCTAAAACACTCAGAACAACACAGAAACCGCATAGCAACACTCAAAATAACCTAGCAACAACATAGCAACACTCGAAAACACTCAAAATAACCTAGCAACCACATAGCAACACTCAAAAACACTCAAAATAACCTGGCAACCACATAACAACACTCTAAAACACTCAGAACAACACAGAAACCGCATAGCAACACTCAAAATAACCTAGCAACCACATAACAACACTCTAAAACACTCAGAACAACACAGAAACCGCATAGCAATACTCAAAATAACCTAGCAACCACATAGCAACACTCAAAAACACTCAAAATAACCTAGCAACCACATAACAACACTCTAAAACACTCAGAACTACACAGAAACCTCATAGCAACACTATAAAACACTCAAAATAACCTAGCAACCATATAGCAACACTCTAAAAACAAGTGATCAGATGCATAATTTTCACCTGTTGGACCAGAAAGCAGCTGCTAGATATTTCTTTCTTGGAAGTGGCAGGAAGTGCTTGTATTCATTTCCTCTGTATGGCAGCGCAGCAGATCTCGGCGCGGCTCCGAGGGCCAGCTGGTGTGTTCTGTTCTGATATGTGTAAGTGACACTTCCTGTGTTCTCTCCTGTATTTCCTATGTGACAGCGTTTGACCAAACTCCTGGAAATGGCCACAGAGAAGCACTGCAGTGAGGTCAAGGCACTCAACAGGTGTGTTTGTCTGTGTGCGTGTGCGTGTGTCTGTGTCTGTGTCTGTGTCTGTGTGTCTGTACTGGTTTATATATCCTGGTGGGGACTTAAACCTGACTACACACAGACTCATGGGGACTCGTGTCACGGTGGGGACCTAAATTGTGGTCCCCACGGGTACAAAAGCTTATAAATCATACAGAATGAAGTTTTTTGAAAATCTAAAAATGCAGAAAGTCTCCTGTGAGGGGTAGGTTTAGGGGTAGGGTTGGTGTAGGGCAATAGAATATACGGTCTGTACAGTATAAAAACCATTACGCTTATGGGATGTCCCCACTTTTCACAAAAACAAACCTGTGTGTGTATCTGTGTGTCTGTGTCTGTCTGTGTGTGTGTTTCAGTTCACTTGAACTTTGAAGTAAGAGAAATACAAAGGAAAATGCAAGAAAGAACGAGAGTAAGATGAATCATTAAGTGCTGCAAGCTTTGAGTGCTTTAATTCAGCTAATGCATCAAGAGAGCTGCAGTGTGTGAGTGTGTTTTGTCTTGGGATTTATAATGAGGTTTCACGTCTAACAAAGCCAGGGGCCGATGACCTTTTCTACATGGAGTGCAGTTTGTTTGTTAATTATTATTGTTGTATAGCAAAAGCAGAGTAAATGAGCGCCGTGAGCGTGAGTGGGACCCCATGAGCTCAACCCCGTAATGAAATTAAACAGCTGGTATGAGGAATGACTGCTGTCTGAGATCATCTGGCATGATGGGATTTAAATATATTAAAATTAACAACTGAATAAAATAAAAGGTATATAACATTCATGATATCTCTCACCCTCACAATCTGTTTTTTCTTTTTCAGTGAGCCCAAGAAGAAAAACAAGTAAGATTTTTTTTGTAATGTTTTTGAATTTTACATAAAAATGTAAAAAATAAAATAATTTTAAATTGATCAAAATGAAACTCTTACTAATAATTAAGTCATAAATATGTAAAATGAAAATAAATATCCGATGTTTTTACCAAAGCTGAACATTTTTTAAATTAAAATGTAAAATTAAAGTAAATAATTTTAAATCAATCTGAAAGAAACATTTAGTAATAATAAATTAAATCATAAATATGTTAAATTAAATCAGCCAAAATAAAACACTTACTAATAATTAATTAAATCATAAAACTTTAAAATTACAATCAATTAATAAATCATTTAAAGAAACAAGTTGAAAGACGTTTTTGAAAGACGTCTCTAAGATCAAAAATACAGTAAAAACAGTAATATCGTGAAATATTACAATTTAAAATAATTGTTTTCTATTGTAATATATTGTAAAATGATATTTATTTCTGTGATGCGCAGCTATATTTTCAGCATCATTACTCCAGTCTTCAGTGTCACATGATCTTCAGAAATCAGTATCATATACTATAAAAGCATTAATTTCTTTCCCAATTTTTTTTAGCTTTATTATCCCTCATTCATGTCACATTTAACTTGATTATTCTTGTTTCAACGCACAAATCCTCATGTTTCTCTGTTTCAGAATGAAGAAATGCAAAAGTACGGAGCAGCTTGACAATGATAACGCTCAGGTAAAACACCACACGAACACTGATCGAGCGATCGAGTGTGTCGAACACAAAAGGAAAAATAGACGGACTGCAGTTGAATGAGAAGCGCACTTGAGACCAGAGCCGTAACCATGACGACAGGTTATGTCGGACACAAAGCCATGGTTTGGGTTGAGTTTTAACAAACGCTGACTAACATGTGCTCACTTGCTCTCGCTCTCTCTCTCTCTCTCTCTCTCTCTCTCTCATTGAGTCTCTGTCTCTCAATTCAAATTCAAAAATTGCTTTATTGGCATGACTGTAAATGATACAATATTGCCAAAGCTTAGTATACATGTACAGAAAGATAAAAAATAATAATATAATAACAATAATAATAATTAAATGAACATCACAGTAATAGATTGGAATATTATAACATCTTAGAAGTATTAAACTGTAACAAATTATAACATGTGAACATCTCTCTCTCTCTCACTCTCTGAGTCTCTCTC